AGAGTAACAAACAATTTTCGGCTCAATTAGTGTGAAATCAAAGAGCAATTTCAAGTTGCTTGTTTGCAAAAAGAAATGCGCCTTCAAAGAAAAGGTATGAAAGCTTCTTGAAAAGAAATGAACTGGAGAGAATGGGAGATGTCCTCCTTGAAATTGAAAAGCTTGAGGTTCACCCACGCTTCAACTGCTACATAAAATTTGGTACGGCCATTCAATTCTACACATTTTTCTTCTATTAGAAAAGTTCCTACCTTCTCACATAACTTCGTAGCCCTATCCGGAACGTCAGCAAGGCACCAAGTGTCGAGTAACTCCGTAAATATAGCTATATTCGACGATAGATCAGAGAGCTTGTTGACGCGCGCACATCCTCGAAGTAGATCGCTGAAAAATCCTCCTCTAATTGAGATGAAAAACAGAAACATCAGACTACTTCCACAAGTTCTCGGCTTTCTATTCCCATTTTTTTCGGTTATTTGTTTCCAGTAGTTGAAGCCTTAGCCTCAGAACTCTGCCCACCTCGCAAAACAAAGAATTGGGAAGAAAGTGGATAGAGCTTGACAAAGGTAAAGGAGGTCGAGAATTGCCTGCCCGTGGTGGGTGGAGTGTGCATCAAAGTGGGTAGAGTTTGCTACGCACTAGCTCGGCCCCAAGAAGTCCCGGAGAGCGCGTTAGAAAGTGAATAGAAGTCAAAGAGGGCTTCTAAAGAAGAAAGTGTAGAGGTCAGAGAAAGAAGAAAGGCTTGCACCGAAGTGGGCGGAGTTACCACCGAACTTATAATTCGGTTCAGAGCAGCTTCAGAAATCGGAAAAAAAGAGGAGAGGATAGCGAGGAAGAAAAGAAGATATGCTAGCATCGTTAGGAAATGGACTTCGGTGTGACAAATTCTACTCAACAATATTGTTTATTGAAAAAAATAACATGCTCAAAGATATGTTGAAGGTGTGCTCACGAAGCATGAAGAATACTTCCAGTATGTACGTATGTCAGTAAGTACATATGTACGAATTTGGTAGAGAAACAATTAAACAGTATGAGAAAAACTGCGAAATGTAGGGAAAACGAAAATGCTATGAACTTATGGAACAACTTAAAGAAACTGATGAAATGTCAGAAAACCCACGCTGAAGTTAGCTGCCGTGAATTCGACGATGGAGGGACGCTTTCTAGTGACCGAAATATGGAAACCAATGTCTTTGCTAGATGAGCTATACGCGGTGATGCCTGAAAGAATCGTAAACATCGAAAACAAATAGGGCAGCATACAAGGGTGTAAAACAACCTTTGTCACAAGCCGTCTTAGTTCTTCATCTGTCAGTTGATCGAGTTTCACTCGGACTGGAATTCCATCAAGCAAACTACTTCTTTTCCCTTTCCCACTAAAAAACATTATTTCAGGAAGGAAGGCCACAATTCAAATCTTTTAAATACCAAAGTAATTGATGATATCGCTGTGGGAGTTTTGCATTCATTTAAGGGTGTGAAAAATATCATGAAAGTGCTAGTATAAGTCAATAGAAATGTCTATTTGTCTGATTATGTTGTCAGAGGTTCAATATGTTTGGCGCAAGGAAAATGAAGTTCGATGGCAGGCAGTGAGAATTACTTGAAGTTTCTATCGAAATTTATAATGAGCTTTATAACTTTAAATTTTACGATGTATCGCGCAGATACTTTGATGGAGCAGAAGAGGTATTTCTGAGGCATTCTTATCTATCATTCAGGAAACTGCGGGGACAGGAACAGAGTTAGTAATCTCGATGTGATTATTCACAGATGGTTTTCCTTCCTTTTTTTTCCTTTGATAGTGCTCACACTCACTGACCACCAGCATTTGTTGTGTAATGAAAATCCCGTCCGTGTACCGTTTTGCTTGAACAAACCTTATCGTTGCAACTATGCGGACTCCCTCATGCAAGATATTTCCAGTCCACAAGGCAGCAAAGTTGATCTTTTGGAGACCAGTTGTATAATTGTAGAAATAACGTCAGCATTCGATAGATCGATGTCTTCTAGCAGAATCATACATTCCTCTTTAAGCCACTTAAATAGATCGTTATACAGGAAATCTTATATTTTAGAAACCAAAAGAACAAACTTCGCTAAAACTGGAAGGTTTCCATAAGAACTGTCCGGCTACTTCCGTGCAGTGGCGTACGAATCCGAACAAGCTCTGAAACGATACCTTATTTGGAGAATAAGCATGTCGAACCTGCCGCAAAATTCTACTCAAGGTCGACGGACTGATTGAACTCGGTTCCTTAAAGCTGCCTCACTCGAGGCTTTCGTCTGCGCTCTCTCGCCTCAGCAGCGGCTCATGATCACTGTGGTTTCACACATTCAAACTTTTGCCAGCCAATCACCACATTGGAGTTCCCTCTCTCTTACAGGGCTTTAGGCTTTATTAATTTCACCTCCTTTCCTGATAGGGTTATGGAGACGAGCCAGGCGAACCGAAGTAGTCCGTAAACCCTCAAAGGAAGGGATCACGTGGAGAACATGAGAGAGCTAATGTATGGGCTTACGAACTACCTGAACTTCCTATGGTCCAGGTACGAATGGCGGTAACCGCAGACGATTAGACAAAGACGCCTAGCTCGGCTCAAATCTAAGAGAATGAGGTGGGAGCCCTAGAACTAAGTCTTGTAAGGGGTGAGAAGGGGGGACGGACGGCTCGAGGGGTGAGCCAACCACAGTCAGGCAGTAAGTTCAAATGTGTTGAGATCACAGTAAGTCAATTCAGGCCAAGCGCTGACAAAGCGAGAACGGCGCGAAAAGGTTGAGTGACGACCAGACTTAAAGGAACCAGTTAAAGTAGTTCCGGTCGACTCTACTGTTGCTTACGGCTTGATGCTTCTCACCCAGTAGGATGACCGGCACCAAATGTGGTAAGAGTACACTTGCAAAATGCACCATAGAATGTTACGTAAAGTAAATTCAATTAGCATAAGAAAGAGGGCGTAATGTCGTAATGGGGAGCGGGAAGAAAGAGGAGATATTCAGTGCAGTAAGCACTTACAGTCCTTAGGACCTGAGCCTTAGGGATTGAAAGGTCATTAATGAGGAAGTGATGTGGGCAATTTCCTCGTTGGCGTTTCTTCCCTTTCTGGCTTCGTCGTAGTATCACAGGTTACAAGAGTTTAATGTCCGCCTAAAATGCCAGACGACGACGCGAAAACGAAGAAAACAGTGACACGCAAAAAAGAGAACTTATTACGATGAAATGAAAACGCTTACCTTCGAGTCAACTTGATCGCCCATCTGCATGGTTTTCAATGGCAATTTTAACTCTTCGGCGGTATGATGCCAAGAATGTTTTTCCGCTGCCCATATGACCCTAGGTCGGTAAAGATAGAAAAACGAACGGCGGTGATCCTCTTGTAAACTTCAAACAGACCTCGACAATACGGGAAAAGTTTCCACGAAGAGGCAACAATAAGCTGTCGCGCACAGATTCTCGAGTAGGAAGAAGAGCAATTTCTAAAGAACGTTTATAAAAAGCACTTTTAAGTGTTAGAGAAATGGTTTTCATTCCTTGAAGAGTTTGCAAAGTTAGACATCGCAAGGTAAAAATTATAGCCTGATACCTTCCTAAATTCAACAGCCCATGGATTCTTGGAAACTGCTTCGATATCGCCCCTCTCTATTTCTACACTGAAGCTTCAAAAACGCGGCATACAACAGTAAGATATTTGTTCATGATCTAACCTGCTCGATCAATTTTGTTTTCCTTGTTCTCATCATTTTCAACGATCATGACTTCATCATCACATTCAAGTTTCCGTCGCTGTAATGGAATTTCCGTGATCTCCCCACCTGCCTCCTCCATCTTCCTCTTCTTCAACCTTTTCTTGCTTTTTGTTTGCCATCTAGCCATTCTTAAAAACAGAAACAGTACTTAAAATATAACGATTATGTTCCATGATAGCATTCACTGAGACACGTTTACTCAACAAATCTTTAAGAGATACGCTTGCTAACATGAACAACCTCCCTACGAAGCTTGATATCTCATGGAAAATTTAGGACGATATTGACTGTGAAATATCGAATGTACCTATATGTCTTGTGCACCAAATGCACTACAGTGCATCAGAAAACATGCATAATCCAATAGAAAGTTTAATGGCCAAAAACTTTATCGGAGCCGTCGATTCGGATGCCTTCAGTGCAACTACACACAAAGGGGTGGACGGGGCGGAGAGAAGAGCCTGCACTCCACCGTTTGGGGCCGGGTGCAGCAAGCCCCAACGACGGGATGGGGGCTCATCCCATTTTTTCGAGGTTGGGGATATGTCCCCAACCTTGGGGATATTATCCCTAACCACCGTTTCGCATGTTCGCGTCACAGGACCCATCGAAAAATGATGGGTCCTGTGACGAAGTGAGGGGATTCATCCCCTCATTGGGTGAGGGGATATATCCTCACCTTGGGGTGAGGGGACCTCAAATTGCCCGCAGTAACACCTATTCTCCGTTCCCCTCTAAATCACGGTAAAAAACGGTCGAGGAAATTCTCGACAGGAGGTCTTTTGTGCCTTGCTGAAAAGTGGTATGTTCAAAAGCGAAGCGATGGATAGCGATACAGCTGCCACCAACCTTGTCACAGCTTATTTGAAAAAATCTTTTATTTGGCGTAAAGAAGATGGTATTTATGAAATAAACATCGAATGCTGGAGAATGTTTATCGAAAGCTATCGCTCGTGGTTTGCCTGAAAAGGCCGATGATATTGGGGAAAGTACGCCTGGCGTCTCATTGCTAGGTCATCTGTCAACCGTGAGGCTAGGCAATTCAGCGTTTTGTAGTGTTGTTTGAGAGCTATCACACATGCGCAGTATCACAGCGCCTGTGCTTTCTTTTTCAGTAAAAGACTTAGGCGTACCGTATTACCGTACCGTACCGTATGTTCTGTCTACAACCTCACCCTGTGGTTGACAGGAGTTTTGTAACCGGCGAAAAGAAGCAGGAGGATCCGCGAGATGTTGATTCTACAATTGACTCGATATCCATTGTTACCTGTTTATTCAAAATTTGACCATAGCTGCTCGTTTCGAATGCTCGCTTTTCCCAATGCACCCTGACCAACAACCTTTACCCTCTGTTTCAGAAAACTCGAAGCGCGTCGACTGCAGACCATACACTACAAGTTAAGAAGTAAATACCAGGTAACTAGGGATTCATAGTGATAGCTGATAGGATGCAAATGAAGTGTTGTAATTGTAGTTGGCAATTGATAGAATTACAACTGCAGCAGGCTAATCACTTCATTGGCATAAAATTTTTACAATTCTTGCACACCGCAGAAGGAATACAGTTTTGCAGGTGTGGGAATTTTTCTTGAAAATTTTTCGCGGCAGATATCGTGCTAAGGAGAAGGTTCCGAATATCATTATGATCGAAAAGCGAGACTCTTTCGATTCCCAATGCGTTCCTTCATCTTTTATGTGCGTCAATAAGAAAAAAGAACTTTTTTTTTAAGCCGGCGCTTTCGGTCCTTTCCCTGCAAAAAGGATGGTAAGACGAAAGCCATCGGGGCGGTATTCAATCCTTCCCCCAGGGGTTGGGGGACGGAAATCCCTTTAAATTTATTTGTTTTTAACGATGTAGTTTCTTCATTTTCAATGCATGCTTACTGTGACATACATACATACATTAAACCTAGGCCCTTTATCAGGACAATCCCAGTTGGGAAGACGGAGAAAATTTAAAGGGTTTTTCGTCCCCCAACCCACCCTAGGGGAAGGATTGAATACCGCCCCAGGAAACTACCCGTCCAAACACTATTTCAACCTACAAGATTCATTCAACAGGGAGTAAACTACTAAAACAATGTCATGGAGGGAGATGAGAACGAACCTTTAGAGATGCTGGCCAGAGAGGTCCACCTGCCACCCCGAGCTGGTAGTAAAGGTTCTTTCTCATCTTCCCTCCATGACATCGTTTTAGTAGTTTACTCCCTGTTGAATGAATCTTGTAGGTTGAAATAGTGTTTGGACGGGTAGTTTCCTAAATAGCTTTCGACTTTTCCAGGCTCTGAAGAAGGTGAAAGCACCGAAACGTCGGCCTAATAAAAGTTATTGTCAATCTTGGTTTTGGAAGCCTAGTGCAACTACGCTCTCAAATAATTTTATATTATAATTGAACACATAAT